GGAGACAGTCTGGAAAGAGGGCCCAAACTGGGATGGATGAATGCTGTTAAAGGGTTAGAGAAAGGAGGTATTTTCGTTGTGGTTTTTCTGTTTTGGGTTTTTTTTTTTTTGTTTTTTGGTATCAGGGATCTAACTCAGGCCCTTGCATTTGCCAGGCAGGCACCATGCCCGGTGAGCTATATCCCCAAGAAGGAGGTGTTTTTAGAGGCAGTATTTGAAAAGAGATTATACATTCATAGATGGTTTAAAAAGCCAGATAGGCCAAGTGTGGTCGCTCACACCTGTAATCCCAGTACTCGGGAGGCTGAGGCAGGAGGATCGTTGCAAATTCAAGGCCAGCCTGGGCTACAAAGTGAGTTCAAGACCAGCCTGTACTGCATAGTGAGACCCTACCTCAAAAAAGACAAAACGTAAAATAAAAAGTCAGTTTAAGAACCAGTCTGAGCACAAAAATTGGCCCTAGATGAGGAAGCTGTCGTGTGTCACTTTTTCCTAGTAGTCACTCTTGAAAGGAGTGGCCCCGAACAGTGTTGAAGTTATAGTTTCCCTTTGGGTCTGATGTTACATGTGCCATCAGATTATCTGCAAGGCTGGATTTTGATTTAACTGGCTTACCTTACCTTCCACTTTCAGAAACATCTTTTAGCTCAGCACATTGCTGCAAAATCTTTCGTTCTCCTGAACAACTTCACTATGTAAAAATTACATTGTCTAAAAAGGAACATTCATACTGTAATTATATAGTTGTGTTCTCTATAACATTTCTGGTGTCAAGCATAGGATTTCGCCTCCAATATTAGTTTGCTATTTTTCAGACTTCGTTGACATGTACAGTTTCATTTGTCTGTGAATACGTTTAGTGGTTCTCATTGTTTACCAAGGCTCTCATGCAAAGGTGGTTTTTGTTTTTGTTTTCTGGTGCTGGGGATTGAATTCAGGGCCTTATACCTGCTAAACAAGTGCTGTATCACTGAGTCACACGTCCAGCCTTGTGATTGAGAGAGGTGGATCTGTGTATACATGTTGATACTCTAAATATTTGAAATCTATTTCTGAGGAGCTGAGAAAATTTTCCAGAACAGATGCATACATTGACACTTGCACCCCTGGGTTATTTGTGTATCGATTATAAGGTTGGCATTGCCCTCTGTCTTCAGTGTTTCCACATGTTCTGTTGCCATCTCTTGCTCCTCCTTGTTTTGTTGGACCCTTGCCCCACAGAACTGGCAAGCAGCGTGGGAGGAGGGCATCGATAGGACAACAGCAAGGCTTCAAAAAGCAGAATGACTCCAGGCCAGCTTTTCTGCTGCCCGGTCAAAATACCTGACATCCACATGTAAAGGGGCGAGGTTTGTTGTTGTTCATGGTTCCAGATGTTTTAGTCTGTGGTTGACTGGCTCCAAGGAACAAACCTTGTAACAGAAGTTCATGGCAGAGGGTAGCTATTTCCCTCCTGGCAGCCAGGAAGGAGACATGGAAAGAGCCAGGGAAGGAGCAGCCAGGGACTCCAGAAGTGTGCGTTCCTGATCTCTTAGGCATCTCTCAAGCCAATCAGGCTGATGTTCAAGAATAACCATCATAGTGTCTGAAAGGGGAATATGTATGCAAAGACTTAAGAGCTGGCATTGCTGGGTGTGGTTGTGCACGCCTATAACCCCAGCACTGGGGCTGCGAAGTGAGTTGAGAGCCAGTCCAAACTACGTAGGGAGATCTTGTCTCAAACCCCCCTGCTCCCACCCAGAGAGGAAGAGCTAGAGTAAATCAGTTTTTTCCTCTAATACTTTCTCTAATACTGAGTTGGGGTGGAGGGTTGTAGATTTCAGAGTTTTTAATTTGGTTGATTTCCTAAGACTGTTTAAAAATTTTTGAACTTCTTTTGCAGCTGAAAATAATGATGGTATCCACATAATCTTAAAGTGATCTCTTACACAGACTGAACTATATTCAGTACCAAATAAAGTCACGCTTAAACGTGTGTGAAGACCGAATCCAAGGAGTCTTGGGATTGGATTTTACCGAATGAAATGTTTCATATTGAAAACACAAGATGACCTTTCTTATGAGCTGATATGCGAGGCAGACCTCCTCCCCGTCACAGCCGAAGCCCAGCATCCTCATGTGAGCGAGCGTGTCGGGCAGCTGTGGAGGCCGCGCTGCAGGCACAGCTTTGTGCTTCTGGCAGAAGCCAGTCCATGTGGTTCCCAGAAGCTGCCTTTGCTGGCTCTTTACACTGTATGCGGTTTGGAAATGAATGTAAACACTTACTGTGGGCATTTACTTTCTGTGCCAGTTTGGCTTATATTGCCTAAACCTTACACAGACCCTGGGGAGGAGATGGGGACAGTGCTGTTGATGGAGCCAGAATGGAAACTGCAGAGAGATACGCTGTGCTGATGCGGCCACTGGTGGTGGTCAGGTAAGCGGCTCAGCACCTTCTGGGAAGGAATCATGTCTAAGGGTGTACATCTGATGCGATCATGACAGACTGGCGAAGACTCAAGCTGGGAAGATGGGCTTGAATGAAGCAAACTGCATTATCAGGAGTACCTTGGTAAGAGGATCAGTGTAAATCCTAATAGGTACAAAGACTTGTATTTTTGCTTTGTTGCTGATTTATTGAAACACTTTTTTTGCTTCTGCTTCCAAAAGCATTTTAGTTTCTGGTATTCATGCCACTCTTGTGATTTTCTTTCTCGTTTTCCTCCCCTTCTCCATCTCTAATCCCTCCTGTTCTTAAGCATTTTTAAAAGTCCTACCCCACGTGTTAGAAATTGGTGACATAAAAAGGAGGAACACAGTGTTAGTGTTGATAGCTTCTGACTTGGTGTTAAGGGATCTGTATTATGAACAAGATGAAATTATCCACGAAAACACTAAGTATCATAAACACTAAAATGTACTGTAAAAATTCCTTTTGTCTCACTTCATATAATGAGCTGCAGTACAATCATGGATAAATATTCCGGTGATGTAGTAGCTTTTAATAATACACCAAATAATGTTTTTTCTCTAAAAATAGTGCGTCTCATAACATCAAATGTGTCTACTAGCATACTTCTTTCCAAGGGAATCTACTATTTTCACTTTTTTCTCCTCTTGCCTTTATCTCCTCACCCAAAGCATCCCAAAATTCATCAGAAAGCATTTTTGAAGTCAGTGGTATATCAAGGCTGAATTTTTTTAAACAACCCTTTTATTCCATTTTAATTGTAGCATCTCTGTCCACTTAAAGTCATCAGTTTTAGCTTTGGATGTACTGTTTGATCCTCATCCTTGTTCAGATGGAAATAGAAACGATTGAGTTTGAATTCTCTCCCAGATGACAAAGCTCCTTCGATGGGTAAACACTTTGCTAGTTTATTCATAAAGGTGGCTAATTACTTCTACAAAGAAGCACTGTCTTCGTCAGGTTTGGAAATACCTGTGACTCCTATGGACCTGTAGGAGAAGAGCTTGCCTAAACGTCCTCCCTTTGCTTTTGTGTGACCACGTTTTCTGTAAGTCACTTGGGAAAGAAGTGAACTTCTCTTAATTGTTTTAGAAAGTTTTGCTTGTCTATTTAGCATTCCTTTTTGGGACTCATGATTTATGGAACAGTAAATGTCATTCAATGCTGTGTGCTATTTTGAAATCCTCATCAGGTTTTAGACGTTGGGTAAAAATACAAGCTCATCAGACTTGAAATTACACCCAGTGGCATTAAGACATTATAGTCTGTCAGAGAAAGAGGTTAAATAAATTATGGCACCAGCAAATTTGCTACTTTGTTTTTTTAATAGTAGGATGTACACATTTCAGTATAATAAATGTTTTCCGATTGTTTTGCAAATTGTGTCTCTCATTTAAAATCTCAGCTCTTCGTGTGTCACAGAATCAAGGAATTTCCTGTGTGTGCTCCATGCCTACCCCAGTCCAAATGTTGTAAGCAATTAGGCTCCTATGTTTTTCCCTGTCTTTTTTCAAAGCTAGTAAGGACAGGTTTTTCTAGGAACTATTTCATACTTAAAGAAGGTTTCTTATGAGATTCTCCTATTTTATAAATGAGGTCATGGGTCATCGGGCATCAAGTCCAGTAGCTATAATAGGTTGTTCCCTAGCTCAGAGAGATTGGATGACTCTGGTCAATAATTTTTTTTAATAGAAACTTAATTCATAGTCATTACTCATTTAAGTCACTTTCTACTCCCCAACAGTGGTATAAACATTTGTTTAAAGAACTGTTGATATTCATACAAGTTTAAGATCAGAATACTAGAGCATATCAGAAAGCAATAAAATCAGTCCTTCAGTGGTTACTGATAACATTGCTAGGTCATTATATGCAGATGTGTATTTGCCTTATCTAGAATGCAGTTGAGACAATGTGTCCTTAAAATGCTTCTAAAATTGTTCCTAGTCATAGAATACATCTTGTTTTTGCTGTTTGTTTTTTGTTTCACTTTGTCATAGTGAGACAGGGTCTCACTGTGCAGTTCAGGCTGGTCTTGAGCTCATTTTGTAACCTAGGCTGGTCTCAAACTCTCAAATGATCCTCCTGCCTCAGCCTCCCAAGTGCTGGGATTACAGGCATGAGCTACCATTGCCTGTCTTGTTTTTGCTATTCTATTTCTCACAAGTTCTTGGCCCTCAGTTTGGGTCATGGTTGCTAGCACGGTCAGCCACTATTAACACCTAAGTTCAAAGAGGATGGTAATAGGTTCCTAATCTTGAGTAAAGATCACAAATGTGGACAGGAAGAGCAGGAATCAGCCACAGCAGGTAACAGATCATCTCATAGCATTGGGAAGGCTTGAACTTGGAAAGTGGTTTTGCTCAGAATTGTCTGCCCTCAGATTAATTAATCCTATGAATTAATTCTGTTAAACACTGCAGTAATTTACGAGTCTAAAAGGTGCCAACACTTTACTGATCTGAGTTTTAAGTGTATAAAACTTTTAAATAGTTTTGATGTAACTGATTTCAAAAATTTTAAAATAAACTTTAAAAAATCACATCCATTCTGCATGCATCCATTATTTTTAATAATATTATAAATGACTTAAGCCTTAATTCTGTTTCTGTAAGTTCTCCCCAAAAGTGTAGACCTAATTAGCTTTGTCCTTAAAAAGGCATTGTATGCTGTGCATATGCCAGAGCTTATCCTTGCCCATCAGCAAACACAGACTGAGTTGCTTTTGTTTAGTTTTTGGTCCTCAGAGGTGGTTATGACAAACTGACAAAGAAAGGTGAAGACCCTGCTCCACCAGCTTACAGTCCTCTTTGGTGTCTCCTAGAAACTGATTAATGTTCCTTCCACACTAGCTTCTACATATAAAACTATTGGGTGTTACAAATTTGCTGTATAGTCATTTGGATAAAGTTGTTATTCAATCTTTAAAGTGAAAAAGTCCTAATCGAAATGGAATCAAGTAGCCCATTGGCTAAAGTAGCCCGCTGGCTTTTAAGGATTAGATAGACAATCAGGTTATTCTTTCTGCTCAGCTTGTGCTAACACTGATGGTCCATTTGAAGATGCTTATAAAAGCCTAGGGGAGGACTTGTGAATAGAGACCCACCTCTTAAGGGATCTGGGTTTCTTGTGTGCTCTTGGCTGCACTGAGATTATCCTTTCCAAATGTTGACTGACACAAGGCTTTGATCTGATTGCATCACAGCAAAATAAAGGTGAGAACTATCACCAGTTACTGCAGTCCACATCAAAGTGTTTTACCTGTAAATGCCTTTCCCAAGGGACAGATCTGGGTGACAGTGGGGTAGTCAGGAAGATTGGTCTTCTCTGGGAGAGATATTTTATTATCCCTGGGCCTGAGCAGTTACTGTCAGAGAATGACACAGCACCTGCACAGTCGCTGTCCACCTCCTGCCACTGCTGTGGGTGGAATGACGGGAGCAAAGTAGGCATGGACTTTGACATGGGGGAGCTGAGCCTGGAAGTAGAAGGAAAAAAAATGGAGTAGTGTTTACCCTGGCTTTTTAAAGGATTATATTCACAATACATAAAAAGCCTGTAGTTCCCACTTAGAATCTACCTCACCTTAGTGTTAGGGAGACAGTTCTAACAGAATCGGCTAGAGCTGCTGCTGTTACTGTCCCATACCCGCCCCCCATCCAACCTTATTACCTTCTAAAGACAAATGGAATCTCAAAATGACCCATTTCCACCCCGTTGTAGTAACTAGCCCTTTTTGCTTTGGGGTGCAAATGCAAACACACCGAACTTCAGATGTAGGTGAAAACTATATGCAGAAACAAAGCCATTCTGTTACGTGCTTTGCCTGGAAACTGGCCAACACTGTAGTTTTTTTTGTGTGGGGGGGTAGTGGCAATCGAACTCAAGACCCACTTGCCAGGCAGGCATTTGTGCCGCTGACCTATATCCCTGTCCCGTCACTGTGTGTCTCTTGCAATGATCTGAAGTCCTTATGTGGGTGCTGATCGCCAGACTACATGGAACCTCCACCTTAAATGACTCATTAAGTTGAATCTTACAGGTTGGGGTCTAAGCAGTGGAATCTAAAAGATGACAACTGTGTAAGCCAGATTGGTTTGCACAGCTGTTGGCTTTGGACAGAACAGAGTCAATGGATACCAATTCTTGATATGTCCTTCGTTGCTCAGTAGTCACTGCCAGGTGAGACCCACTCCCCTGGCCCACACCTACCCGCATCCGCTTGATGCCTGCCCGAGTGACCTGCTGGCAGTCGTATAGCTCAAGGCGCTCTAGGCCCTGGCAGTTCTCTAAGTGCTCAAGGGCCACGTCAGTGATGAGGCAGTTATCCAACTCCAGTACCCTCAGCCTCTTGTGGCCACAGGTACTGTTGCTGAGATGCAGGATCCCATCATCTGTGATGAGCTCACAGTGGGACAGGCTCTGAAACAGAAGAGGTTTGCAGGATACTCACTGCAAGGCTCCAGGCCTAGTGAAGTAAGGATCTTAGCGCATGTGTCCCAGAGTAACTGCTGTCATGGTTTGAAAATGTCCCTTAAAAAACAGGTGCAGGATACCCATCCCGTGTGATGGTGCTGGGAAGTGGGTTGTAGCAGTGGTTTAGGTCACAGTGCCACCTGCATGAATATATTAATTCCAATTATAAAAGGGGCACCAAGCTGCAAATTCTTTCTCCCCTGCCCTTTGCCCTTCTACCTTCTCCCGTGAGATGACACAGTGAAAACACCCTCCCCAGATCGCCAGCCTGTCAGGCTTGGGCCTTCCAGACTGAGACATTCCAGTTCATTGTGTACAGTCTGCTCTGCTGAATCAGGCAGGGAGGGCCAGACAGACTTCGGGCCCCTTTAGTCATGGGCCCCAAAGCTGCCACAAGGCAATAGGGTTTATTTACCTTTTGACTAAAAAGACGAAAATTTTCAGTTTATATCCTTGAGAGCAGTTTTAATACCTCATTCTCCAACTGCGTGGAGGCTAGTGACATCAATGATTCTAATGTCTTTCATTTAGAAAACTACAAACCACCACGACTCAGATGTGTACTGCGCATCTCTGAAGGATGTAGAAGATAGTTCTACTTACACAGCCAAACGACATTTCTGTCCTCTTAAGGTCTCCTGATCAATAAATAGTTTCAGACGTGACAGTTTTCCTCAGTGTATATCAAATACAATATTCAGTTTAACATAAAATTTCTTATAGGCAAAAGACTGCGTTAAGTTCCTGTCATTCATTTTTTTCTTTCAGATATACTGAGCTGTAACTGTGCCAGGCTGTGTTGTGGGCAGTGATGAAGAAACCACTGTTTTGCACAGTAGAGCCCAGATTATAGAGCTGAGAAATGAAGTCACACTAAGGAAACCATTAGAGTGAAGCTGAAGTGAGGCTCAAGAGCATGCGATAGTGGGATTTGACCTCAGGGCAAGGCCACTGTGTTGGTATCTGAAGAACTGATGAAGGACTAAGACCTTATCCAGAGCGAGGCCAGGGAGGCAGGAGGACAGTGGTGAGCAGAGTTCAGGAAGGTCAGCATCATAGGTGGGAAGAGAATGCAGATGGAAATGGGTAGGTTCCAGGCCGGACTGCAGAACTGTGCAGACCATAAAAGCAAATTTTATTTTTACTTAATGTCACTGGGAGATGCAGTGTTACATGTTTTTTTTGTTTTGTTATTTTTTTAAATCAGCATCACTGCACACCAGTGAGAATCGCTAAAATGAAAAAGATGGAAAGTAAGTGTTGGTAAGGATGTGGAACAGCTGAAATGCCATGCTGTAAGGGCAGTTTGGGTATCTGACTACAGTGCATGTATGTGTGAACTGAAAACAGCTGTGCTGGCTCTAATAGCCCCAAACCAGAAAACCCTAAAACACTGAGCACAGAAAAGGAAAATCAGGGTGTGCCCATGTTGTAAAGCGGTGAGGATGAATCATGTACAACTACATATAGTAGTATGAGTGCATTTATACATGTAACAAGCACTAAAAACAGACGAGTACAGATTAACCACTAATAGACGCTGGGCATGGTGGTGCATGCCTGTAATCCCAGCACTCAGAAGGCTGAGGCAGGAGGATCACTTCAAGTCCAAGGCTAGCCTGAACTACATAGTGAAATCCTGTCTCTCTCTCACACACATGCACAATCACTAATACAATTTCAACAATAAATGAAAAAACCCCAGGTAAAACTAATAAATTCTACTGGGAACTACCCTTGAGGAGTAAGTGATAAAGGACAGGAGGGAGCTTTGGGATCATGGTAATGTTGATACTTACTCTGGGAATATTCCATTTATGGAAATGCATTGCTCTACACAACAGTGATAAAGGTACTTTTCTGTATACTTAAGTAAAAAATGAAAATCAAAAAAATAAACCACCCCGACTGCCAAATCGTGCACAAGTGGACAGACTGGAAAGCAAACAAGAGGCTACTATATTCACTGGGGTAAAGAAATGCCTAGTAATTTGGACCACCGGTGAGTTCTGCTGACAAATAGCAAATTATTGGATGGGTGGGAAGTTCCTGCTAAGTGAAAAAAGAACCCAAGAGATTGATACAAAACATGAAAAATAGGCAGCTGAGCACCATCTAGAGGTGAAGCTGGGGGAGAATCAGGCCCTGAGCCTGGAAAGGCTCCATTTTAACAAAATGGGGTGTTTCCTTTCTCATGAACTTAGTCACACTACACAAAACCGACCAGGACGTCTGGGACCAGCGTTGTGCTTCCTTCTGCCTCTATTGTTCCTCATGAGAAATTTGCTGTTCTTTCAATTCCTTTTCCTGTCTATGCATCGCATCTCATTTTTTCAAGTTCTTCCTGGGCTCTGGGGCGTAGTTCAGTGGTAGAGAGCACACCCAGCAAGTGCAAGGCCTGGGTTCAATCCGGGGCGGAGAGGTCATTATCTTTACTTTTCACAAGTTTGATTATGATGTGCACTGGTGTGAGTTTGAGTTTTTCCTGAATCTGCAGATGTACTTTCTTCTGCCAAATTTGGGGACTCTTCTGCCATGACTTCAGCCCCACTTTCTCTTCTTCTGGAATTGTGATGATATGAAAGTGACATTTTGATCTAGTTCCAGCAGGCCCTGAGGCACTGCCCTTTCTTCTTTTCTTCAGTCTATTTTCTGTTGCCTAGGTTGGGTAATTTCTATTACTGTACCTTCAAGTGTATGCATTCTTTCCATTTTGCTTTAAGGTCATCCATTGAGTTTTATTTTGATATGTTTTATAAATTTCCATATACTACTTTTATATGTTCCATTTCTTTGCTGACATATTTTTTGTTTCAAGTGTGCTCATATTTGCTTAGATGAAGCATTTTTATCATGGTTGCTTTAAAATTCTTGTCATATGATTCTGAGATTTGTTGTTTGTTTTAACTTTTTCTGTCTGTTTGAGACAGGGTTTTGCTGTGCAGTTTAGGCTGGCCTTGAGCTCACTTTGCAGCCCAGGCTGCCCTTGACTTGCAGTGATCCTCCTGCCTCAGCCTCCTAAGTGCTGGGATTACAGGTATGCGCCACCACACCCGGCCTGATTCTGAGATTTGTATCATCTTGGTATTACTGTCTTTTCTCATACAAGGTCAGATTTTTCTTATTCTTCATACGGTAAGTCTTTTCTAGGCAGAATCTTGCTATGCAGTTCAGCCCTTACTATGTAGCCAGGCTGGACTCTTAGCTAATAACAATCTTCCTGCCTCAGCCTCCCGACTGCTGGGATTATAGATGTGTGCCACTACATCTAGCTAAGTGAGTGTTTTCTATTGTCAAGATATTTTGATTGTTAGGAGACTCTGTCTTAAGTGTTTTTCAGTCTGGGAATTAAACCTAAGACCTTGTGCAGGTAAACAAGTGTTCTTCATGTGAGCCACACCCCCAAACTAAATCTTCCGCCTGAATAGGCAACCTTTTACATTGTGCTGGTGGTGGAAGGGGCAGTCCTGCCTTGTCACTGTCAGGTAGGGGCAGAAGTCCAAGTTCCTAATCAGCATTGCGGATCTCCTATGTGGCAGGGAGCTTGTTGTTGACTGGTGGAGGTGGTAATTCTGACCCCCTCCAGATGGCCCTCACCTGGAAGGGGAAAGGTGCCTTGCTGTCCTTTGGTGGGGGTCTGAGTCTAGGCTGCCTGTGTGGTCTGCAGTGATGAAAGACTCCCAGTTCCCCTATTCGACTTCCACTGGCAGAGGTGAGGATGGTACTGTAGGTTTTTCTGTGCACTAGATAGAGTGGGGTTTTGTTTGTTTCTTTTTTTTTGAGACAGGGTCTTGCTATGTAATTCAGGTTGAACTTGAACTCACTTTGTAGCCCAGGCTGGCCTCGAACTCACAGCAATCCTCCTGCCTCAGCCTCCCAAGTGCTAGGATTACAGGTGTGCACCACCATGCCCAGCTGGGTGGAGTGGTTATTGTCTAAAAGTTTTCTGTCTTGGTTCTTTGACTAGATGGAGCAGGCTCTTCTTCAGAATTTTTTTTTCTGAACCTTTTGGCATTTCTAGGTTGTCAGTTCTACAGTACCCAGCCTAGGATATATGAAGCAAAACAAAAACAAAGGTACTACCATGTTGCTTGCTTGTACTCTGAGGTCCTCAACTGGTCCTGCTACCTTCTCTTGATCTATGGCTGTACTCAGCAGGAGGAATGGGAGTAGTGCATCTACTTCATTTTGCTGGGACTCAAAACTTGCTTTTGTCCTTTGAAAATCTGTATTTATTTTTCCAGCAAATACAAACAAAATGCTGCCCTTTCACAGATTCTCCTGGTGACATTTGCTCAAGCATTTTTAATTAAAAGTCACTGGTAGGCAAGAAAGTATGTGGACAGTGTCACACATGTACAGTCCCAAGTGCATAGGAGGCTGAGGCAGAAGAATCACTGGAGCCCATGAATTCAAGACTACCCTGAATGGCACAGTGAAAGCCCATTTCAAAAAAGGAGAAAACTAAGCACAGGGAACATTTTTAAGGTAAGGAAGTTCACTTACGGCAGAGAAAGGGTGATGCTATCCTTAAGCTTATTTTTGCAAACCCCTTCTCCTCCCACTTGCACTAGGCTGCTGGGAGTCTGTTAAGATTCGGAAGTGTGTGCAGGAGTGGTGGCGCACACCTGTAATCCCAGCTGAGGCAAGGGGATCATTGCGAGTTTGAGACGAGCCTGGGCTACAAAGTGAGCTCACGGCCAGTCTGAACTGCATGGCAAGACCCTGTCTCCAAACAAAAAAAAAAGATTCAGAAGTGTGCATGGCACATCCCACACCCCCTCTGTGCTCCCTAAAGGAAGCCAGGAGCAAATGGAATTTGAACTGGGATGTAAAAAATTCAAGCAACTTGCCATTGAAGCTGCTGTGAGTGATGGCCTGAGGACTCTAGATGTTCTCTTCCCTAAGGTCCTGAATCTTCCCTGAAGATCTGCTCCAACAAAGGGGACTCTGTCTGTGGCTTTGTGCTTTGGGTGCCTTGTGGGAACTTGGGGAGGGGCTGCTGGTGACGCAAGGCCCCTCATCTGCCCTTCCCCTCCACAGCCGCTTTGGGTGTCGGAGCTGTGACAGGGCTGGGGACAGCCAGTATCCTCCTGGTAGGATGCTGCCATGCTTGGGGTCTAAGCTGCACAACTGTGTGGATGGCCCTTGTCACTCACACAGCAGTAACTGCCTGACTCGAGACTTGGATTTCTCTATGGCTCACTTTGCTCCCAGAGAGAATCCAGAGCTGGAGATATAGCTCAGCAGCACAGTGCCTGCCTGGCAAGCATAAGCTCCTGAGTTCGATTCCTGGTACAAAAAAAAAAAAAAAAAAAAAAAGAATGGCTCCAAAGAGAATCCAAAGTGTCTTTCTCTCAGTAGTCTGTTGATGCTGTGGTGAGAAGGGAGATCTTTCTGCCCTCAGGGATTTGAAGATCTAAATCATAATCCCAGATTTCTCCCAAATTTCCAGTAAGGAAAGATGCCTTCGGTTTATGGAAAGAACTTTTAAGATCTAAGGCTAGGCCAGGCAAGGTAGCACACACCTGTAATCCCTGCGCTAGGGATGAGGCCAAGACAGGAAGACTGCTATGAATTTGAGGCCAGCCTGGGCTACATAGTGAGTTCAAGCCCAGTCTCAAACACATAGCAAGATCCTGTCTCAAAAAAGCAGAAACAGTAAGATCTAAGATGAAAATGAAACCACTAAAATCAGTGCACAGAGACATGGCTAAAAATCTAACAGATAAAACAGTTTAAAAAATAGTTAATCCAAAAATAAGACTGAAAAGGACATAGGAAAATAGTAAAATAGAGGATACAAATCTAACTATCAGTGTTACTTGCAAATGACTACACATTCCAGTTTAAAGGGTCTCGCCTCCTGCACAGCAACCCCAAGGCTCCAGTGCTGGCTTTGTGGTCAGCCTCATCTCTCCTCCTCTCCCCACAAGATCCAACCGGCTGTGTGGTTGTGCGGAGCTGGGAAAGAACTCAGCCCAACTCCTCTGTGAACGACCCTCAGGCTCTTCTCACCTTACCCTTGGCTCCTACTTCTAGACCTGGCTCAACAGCAAGGATCACAGTGAAACTTAAGGATGAAAGCTTTGCTGAGAGGAAGCTGAATCTTGAGGGTTAAGGGAGAGCTTTAATAATTGACAACGGAATTCAGGCTGCATGGCAAGGGAGGAGGGGAAAGTGACCGACAGTGAAAAGATGGGTTCCATTTGAGCAAAATTATTATTGCAGCTGGGTGATAGAGTGAGTAGAAAGGTGGGAGATGCTGGTCAGACAGGGGCATGAAGCTGAGACTAAAAAGAACATTCTAGGAGAAGTGCAGCTCAGTGGTTGAGCACTTACCCAGCATGCATGAGGCCCTGGCTTAGATCCCCAGCACCGTAAAACCAAACAAAACATACATTCTATTTTATACAGTTATTTTCAAAGTTGTTAGATGTTTCCACTTTAAATTGGAGAAAACATCCCTCTAAATATTACCAAGTCTTGCACACTACCTTTTCCTCTAGAGCAGTGAGCAGTGGCTTGATGACATGATTCTCTCATAACCAGGATCAGGCTTTTGAACAACTGGGTAATGCGTGACCTCGTCACAGTGTGCCCTTGCAAAGGGAGGGTAACTGAGTTGACATCTGGTGGTCTTGGTTTCCTATACATAAGGGTGTTTTACTAAATCATGATGAAAAATAAAATCTCCTAACAAGAAAGTAATTTTGGTTTGGGGCCATATCCCTTTTTAACAGACTGCTAAAATTAGGCTTGAATAGCTTCTAGTAAGGTATGTAACAAAATGATTTTTTTTCTAGAACTGTCAAAACTGGCTGTGGTATTTAAGAGGAAACAGCCCCTCTATAACCACTACAACATGCAGATGACATATCCTTCAAGCTAAAAACTCCAGTAATAGAGGATCCTTAACGCCTCTGAACAAATTCCGTGAGTCTTCAGGTTTTCCAGGTCCTACTACTTTGTATTCTTTTCAATCTGGGGCTCCTTCATTTGCGCTGTATATCTGACTTACTTCCAAACACACACAATTAGGTTTCCCTTTAGAATGGCCTTCCAGATTGTGTTTCTGTGACAGCATGAGGCCCTTCCCGCTGAGGACCAGACAGCGATTCTGACTTGCCCCCTTAAGTATACAGGAACCGTGGGTGAGGCGCTGAGCCGCAGTAGTCGCCTGGCTTCTCCACGGTGGTCACTTCTGGTTTTCTTCCTGCTTGCAGATATTTAGTAAAAGACACAAGCCTCATTTCAACATTCAAGATGCGGCCCCGCCCCACCGCCCAGGCCCCAACCACGGCGTGGCCTCCTCTGGCTCCCAGGTAGGGCGCTGTGGATGCAGCAGCCTGTGCCTGGGTGGTCAGGTAGGCGCTGTCAGGGCTGCTCCTCTGCGGCCACTTCCCCCTCTACAAGGCTGGCAGCGAACAGGCGTGTGCGTCCATGGCACACTCAGAGCGCACTGGGGTTCTGGGCTGGCAGACCGCGTGCCCTGCAACCCGAGGCAGCACACAAGCACGCCTCAGGGACCCTGCACTTCTACTTGCCTCAGCTCTGCTGGAGGCCGACAGAGGCTCTGTCCTACCGCCCATGATCAGAGTGGGTCGTGCTCCTGGGTACCCCTTCAACAAGGGTCCTCTGAAACTTCACAGTCAGGATAAAGCTGGTCTCTCCTGAGGAATCATTGTATTCTCCAGCCCCTAGAGCAGGGCCTGACATGTGGCCGTCCTCGAGAAGTGTTTGTGGAGTGAATGAGATGAACAGCAGACACGGAATGCAGTCCAGAGTACTTCCTTTTTCTGCCTTGGCTATGAGAGTCTCAAAGCAAAGTTTTCAACTGCAATTGTTTCACTGCTTTTCTCTTAACAATTATATTTTTGGGGGAGGATAGGCGGCTCTTACTTTAGATTTCTGTTTTTATGATCGCTTATTTTTTCTGCCCTTGCATCCTTATTTTGTAGCTTGTACAAAAATAGGGGATAAGATGGACAAGGCAGAAACCCTGGACGGGAGAACATTGTCCACCTGCAAGACATTGCCTGATAGCCGGGCAGACCCTGCACCCTGCACTCTGCACGCGGCACAGCTGGAGACTTGCTGCCTGCGCTCCCTGCTACCTCCCTCAGGTACCCACTGTGAGCAGACCCCTGTGGAGACTGATAAAGGGGGCCCCAGTCCAGGGCATCTTGGAAAAGGTCGGAGAGAGCCCTTGGGGCTGTGGAGAGACAGACAGTAAAGGAGAAAATAAAGCACTGGGCTCCAAAATTCCCCTACATTTTTGAGAGGCTGAAGGTCTTAGGAGAAAAACAAGCGGGAAGATAAAAGCATAGTTTTTTTTATTAAAAAAGAGACAAAAAGAAAAAACAGAAAGCACATCTGTGTTTCTGTCAATCACAAAACCAGACCTGAACCAATTTGGGGCTTAAAAACAGAATTATTTGCAATATTTAGAAGGAAATACAGTAATTTGCACAGAGAATCTGGATATAGCTGTATATCTGACTAATCTCTAAGATCCAGATCTTAAAAAATGTTCCAGAAGCATCCAAAAGCAAGCTGTACTTGTCCCTGAGAAGAGTGTCCTACAGGGATGCAGAAAGAAGGAAAGTCGCTGAGAAAAGGAATTCAAAGCCAAATGATGCTTTACCATTATTGCTGAATTCCAGCCCCTGAGGAGACAGCAAGTTTCATAGAAGACAGAAGGCAAGCTTCCTTCAGAAACACGTTATGTGCACCCGCAGGGCTGTGGGAAGACCAGAGGCAGGGGAGGCCAGGAGAGCTGGGGATTAGTCCCTTCCCCACTTGGAGCCTCAGTTTCCTCACTGATAAAATGGGTCTGCCATCTCACAGGAATGGCAGATTCCCATGTATTGCCTTGCTCGATGGTGGTTTTGCCCCTCCCCCAGGCTCCCAGGCACGTGTGAAACATGGAAAGGTCTGCCTCACATACAAAGTATCCATCCGGGGCTGGGGATTTAGCTCAGTGGCAAAAGCGCCTGCCTGGCATGCGCAAGGTCGTGAGTTCGGTTCCCGGTACTGGAGAAAAACAAAAACAAAACAAAAAAAGTACCCATCCAAGAATATATTCAGATTGATGATTAACTGATTGGCTGATTTATTCATTCATTCATTTATTTAGTCTTTTTGAGGCAGGGTCTCACTATGCAGTTCACACTGGCTCACTTTATAGCCCAAGCTGGCCTGGAATTCAGCAATCCTCCTGCCTCAGCCTCCTGAGTGCTGGAATTACAGGCATGCACCACCACACCCAGTTATATTTAGATTTCTATTAAATGAAAATATAACAGAAGGGTGCTACCAATCTTTTGCGCTGGATATAACATTTTAAGATGGTAACTGTCATTGCCTGACAAGATGAACATGAACATGATCATGGTGATCACATGAGTCCTCATTGGTTCATACACCACAATGAAAGTAGTAACTTTCAGATGCCCCGCTACCAAGTGAGCCCAACTAGTAGATCTCTGAAACTACCTTTAAAGAATAAGAACTCACACCGTTTTCTGCTGCACTTGGAGGGTCCTTTCATTCCTAAGAGATGAATAATGTCACAAAAAAACTACAAAGACTCACCAGGGCTTGCAGCTTAGGACAGTGAATGGAGAGTTGGATGAGTGTGCTGTCGGTTATCTGGAGAAAAACATGCTGTGTCAGTGTGGCTTCTATGCCAGACCTTAATACTGTACCTAACCCTGGCTTCTCCTGAACATGGGAATCAAAAGGTGCAAGAGAGAATTAAAAACTCATCCAAACACCCTGGCTGGGAGGGAGTGCCTGTCTTCCCCAGCACCCTCAAATCTGGCTGCTCCTGAAGACGGAGAACTGTCCTTTGGTCTCACCCCTGGTGCTTCAAGGGGGCCTAAGGGCAGGGAACAAAGAGGGACTAACAAGAAGAGCTCTTTGGAGTCTCCTCTCTGGAGTCACCTCAGCACTGGACATGCAAGCTTATTTCTCCCTCAAGTTCTGTGAAAAAATAAAAGGAGGCTTTTCTCATTTTAATGCTTGGTAAATGAAGGAGCTATCTTGAATTTATTTGCTATAGTTCTGTCTGATGACTGGCAATGTCCTCAAGTTTACATATCCTACTTCTGTGGTCCTAGAGGGCTTAACCCTACCACCTACACAGAGCAAGGAGGGGTGAGACTGCAGGTGGTCTGTGTCCCTGGGTGAATCAGGGACCCTTCAGGTCTCTGGGGGTCCACTCACCAGGATGCATTCTTCAAGATCCATCTTCTCCAGGTCATGGCAGTTCTGAAAGAGACACACTTGCTTTGCGGTCCCTGGATGCTCACTCTGTCCCTGAGTACCGGCCAGGGTCCTGGCCTCTTCCATTTAATTGCATGCCCTGCTCCTGGAGCACCCAGTGAATCAGCACTTCTGAGCTGATGCCCTCTGAATCACAGACAGCTTAGAAATAGGTACAGGACTAGCCTGGCTACATTTCTTTTTCTCAACTTGCAAAGAGAGTTGCCCACACCTTCCCAGCAGCTCCTAGACATCAACAGGTAAAATTTAACCACTGGGCATGGGAACAGGATACTCAGCCACACTAGGGGGAAGGAGGGGAGGTAGGAAGAGGAGTACAGAGCATCCCCAGGACACAGGCTCCTGGCATCTACCCCACGGGGGCCCGCAGGGTGACCATGGTGGTCTGTGTTCACAGGCAGTGTTGAAAATGGAACAGAGACAGAGCACCAGCCCAGTCAGAGGAAGATGCAGAGTGGTCAGGTCGGGGTCCATGTGGGAAAGGTGTCCCCCACTGCAGAAGAGGCTCCTTTTAGGGTGGTGCCTCCTGCCCAAGTGAGAGAGAGGCCTAGACCTTTCTGGAATCCTCCACAAGGTCTTGCTAGATTTCTGGTCAACTGGAAAAAATGCAAAGCACATCTGTAGGGCTCTATTTGACTTTGCACTTGTGTTTTCTGAAGCTAGCTCTTTGTACTCCCAAAACAACCCAAGTCTTATTTTTTTTGAGACAGGGTCTCACTATGTAGTTCAGACTTGCCTTGAACTCACTATGTAGCCTAGACTGGCCTTGAACTTAGGGCAATCATCCTGCCTCAGCCTCACAAGTGCTGGGATTAAAGGCATGCACCACCATGCCTGTCCACCCCAAATTTTTGAATTAAGAAACTGGATTACAGTTTGGTTTGCTTTTTAAAAACTTATCCCTTACCCGTGCTAAAAGTGTAAAGCCTGCATCAGTCAAATGGGTGCATCGAGCAGCCTCCAAAATTCTGGAAGGGGGCATGACAGGGAGAGACAAGTATCAGCTGGTTAACAACAGAAACACAATATACTTTACAGTATACGCTCTTGAGCTTATTCTGCTCTTTGAAACACTTTTGCTTCTAGTTCTAAGGATTATAAGCTACAAAAACTATCCCTACTAGACAGATGAGAAACAGGGATGCAACCTGCTGCAAACCCTACAGTCTTATCTTAACACAGAGAGTAAATCCAGGAATCTTCCCACTATACCAGCACATTCTTTATAAATATCAACAAAGTCATCATGAAATAGATTTACTGTATTTATTAAAATTCTGAGTTATCCAACAGGAAATTTAAAGAGTTTACAGGCAGTGACAGGCAGGTAATTCTCAGGTACCCATGCTCACGAGAAGAAAATGCATAAATAACATTTCAAAGTTAAACACTCCCTTACAGGAATAATTTTGACCTATTTTCTGGCCAGGTTGGTTGCTTGATTTGTTTGTTTTTCTGTCTCTGTCTGTCTCTTTTTTCTCTCCTTTCTCTCTCTCAATCTCTCTCTCACTTTCTCTTTCTTGTGAAATTCAATGCAGGGGTTCCCATTCTAAGTATATCCTCTACCATTAAGCTACCCCAGCACCCCTCTCACCCGCTCTGCTCATCCAGATCCCTTCTGCTCAGCTGTACTCACTGCATTCTCGGGCAGTTCAAACCCAGTGCTGCCAGGGATGCATCGGTCAGGTTGCTGCACCCAGAAAGGCTGAGGGCCTGTAGCTGGCAGCAGCCCCTGCATATCTGCACCACACCCTCATCCGTGATGCGCTGGGGAGAGAAAGTCCGGGAGAAAATGCTAGAGGAAATCAATACTGAAAAGGAGCAGCAGAAAAATGAGATCACTAATTGCTTGATTATTTTGTTGCCAGTTACTATCACTTTCTCCTAATAAATTAGGGAGTAGAGGGCAGACATGTATTTGCATTACTGCATAATTTTAACACAGTCTAGCTTTACTAAGAGAAAGCAAAAATTTAAGATTCCATTTCTATTCTCAAGAGTTATAAAAACAGATACAGATTTGACTCTTGCAGGGTGGAGGGACGAGGGAAAAGGGAATAAAAATGCGTTATATACATGTACCAGTCCCCTACAGTGAATGTAATCATTATGTACTGCAAACATTACTAATAAAAGTAGTAAAAACAGTTTAACGTATTTTTAAATTTGATTTTTTTCAAGGAAAAATTCCTGATGATAAAGCATCACATTAAATGAAGGACTCAGGAAGACCTGCTGAGCTAAATGACGGATTAATATTTGGTTGCCTGTCTACAGATTAGTACCTTAAACAGGTACCATATAAACCACATACATGTAAATTTATATTTCAAGTTTTTAGACAATAGGAAAATTAAACCAGTTATTGATAAATGCCTTAGCGTTCTATTAAGTCATTAAGATTCAAAATAGTATCTTCACTTAAATATACTACTTCATGTAGAAATAAGCAGGCACATCTATACTAGACTTTAAGCTCCCTGCCAATGCTACCCTACATGAAATTTGAGGTTCTGCTTTTGAACAGCCCCTAGGTCCATAAAGTCAGGATTTATCCAGAAGGTAGTTTGTTTTCTCTTTCACCATGAGGGACTCCACAGATTTAAGAATCATTCATTAAAAGCCAAATGCAAGGACTTTCTCTTACCTTTCTCAAAACCTATGCTCCCCTTGAAAAGCCCAGGGGCCCCGTAAGCATCCTTTTTACTTATCAACATCTACACAGCAGTGAAGAAGGACCAAGCACTTTTATAGGCTATGTCCCGATGAAAATGTTACTTTGCTCTTGTATATGCCCTTTATTGTTCAAAGCATTTCCACATCTGTTATTTTATCTACTGCAAAATTAGACATGTTATCATCCCCAATTTATTTAATTTTGGGGGGTCAGAGTTGAGACAATGTCTCACTATGTAGTTCAGGCTGGCCTTGAACTTACTATGTAGCCCAGGCTGAGCTTGAACTTGTGGCAATCCTCCTGCCTCAGCCTCCAAAATGCGGGGATTACAGACATGCACCACCACACCCCAATTTACAAGTTACAAAAAAAAGAAAAGAAATCGAGATTATATCGCGAACTGCTCAGGTCTAACAACTAATGGCAAGTCCATAGCATTTCTAATATCTTCCTCAATACTCAAAAAAATCAAGACCACATTCACATTATTTTGGGGGCAGCTATCAGTGGCAGGTATACTGATGATGCCACCTTGTTTTTCTTTCATCTCATGATAACACAGATCCCATAAAGACCTAGGAAAACAAATCAGGCTGTGGCAACGTGGCTGTGTGCCAATCACCTCACTTTGCAGGGCTGAGGCATGGCCCACCGAAGACTCCTGTGGAGTATGCAGGGACGGACTAGCTCCAGAAAGATGCTACTTACTGAGCAGGACTGCAGGTTGAGGCTCACAAGCTCATGGCAGTAATTCTGGATGTGTTTCAGAGCTTCATCTTCTAGCTGAGCAGACGGAAAGCAGAAGAGGATGAAATCCAGGTTACAGCAATTTCCCTGACACGTAAGACAAGACCTGTATGGATGCTTGGGTACCTGCGTGCAGCCCCGCAGGAGCAGGGCTTTCAGGCACCGGCACCCTCGCACCAGTGCCTCAATGCCCTCCTTTGTGATCTGATCGCACCAAGAGAGGTTCAAGTACTCCAGGTTTCGGCAGCCCTCGCTGAAAAAACAAGAAAGGAAAAATACCTCTGTATATTCCCTCCTCTAGAAAATGTATTACCAACATTCAATGTAGGACATCACAAGCAATTCTGAGAGGGAGAAAGCCCTAGGACTCAGCGAGCTGCCAATTTCTTGCTCTGATGGCACCATGAGGAAGGCTTCAGATAAACTAGAACTGCTTTGGTATCTTCTTGACCACAAACAACAGGCACTCCTACCTGATGCACTTTAAGGAGCTGTTTGTAATGGACACGCAGGAGGTCAGATCCAAGTGCTTCAGCTTGGAGCAGAATCTGCTAAGGCTATAACACGTGCTGAAAAAAAGCAGGTACACTAAAGATATTTTCAACCATGTTTCTCTCCCCAACCCTCCCCTAGCCACTTAGTCCCCACACTCATCCTCATACTTACCTGTCAGTGATTTTTGTGCACCCATTGAGGTTTAAATGTTCGATGTTTCGGCAGTTCTGTGCAAAGGTCCTGCAAGGAGAAAATGTTTTCAAACTCCCTGCAAGTTGCTGGGCAGCCTCTAGAGGGCATATGTAACCATTTGCTCTGGTTAAACATTAACCAGCAAAGGGATCAGCTGAGGCTCCAGTCACAGTGCAGAGTCTGACAGTAGAGCCAGGGTGGAGCTGAGTAATCCACACTCTAAGAAGTTCTCCTCCTGATACACTCCTGAGAGTCTAAGACCACACTTGGAGAAGCAAAGCCCTGCAGAGACGATCTATCTGTCCCCTCTCCTTCAGCCACACCTTCGTGAGTCATCTGAGAATGGAGGCCTGGCACTTTGATACTTCTCCTTCATAGGAAAATCAATCTGAACCAAGGGATGAATCTTTCTTGTACTGTTCCATGTTGTCACTGGTTACCCTGGGGACTTTCTAAAGAAATCACCTCTAGCCAGTGAGAGGGGCAGCATTTTGATCAGTATCAAGATACCTCTGTTTATTGGTGAGGATGAAGAGCAACTTCTACAGTGATCTGTGGGCTGGTAGCAAATTAAGCATCCCTTATTGAACCCAACGTGTTCAGCAAGGACTGGCTTATGTCACTGCATCTTCCTAAAATACAGCTTCAATACAGCTTATAGGATCGAGTCCTGACTCTTCATGCAGTAGCCAAAGCCTCTAAAACCTGGCCTTGGAGCAGATGTCATTTTATCTGCTCCTTCTGACCTGCCAAAGTGCAGGGAGGGAGAACCAAATTGGAGCCTGATGGACTCTGATATGAACAGACGGAGCTGAAATCTAGGAAGACCACATTGGCTAGAGTGGAGAACATGCCATAGAGAACCCTAGGATCTGTACAGGGTAGTCCAAGAAATGCAACAGAGTGCTGACCAGTATGTACACACGAGGAGACTTTCCACGGCTGAGGAAAGAACCAGCTAAAAGCACTGGAGAGAACCACAGAGCTCACCCAGGACAATGAACAGCGGCCACTCTGACCAGTCCAGGAAACATGTAATACATGGGGCTTTGGGTAGAGTACTCAGACAGGTTTTCCTTCAGGAGAAGAACACTATTATCCTTAAACCAGTGATAGTGAACCTTTCAGAGACCAAGTGCCCAAACTGCAACCCAAAACCTTGCACTTATTCATCACAAAGTGCCAACGCTGCAATTAAATCTAAATATTGAGATTTTACTTTAGAAAAAAAAATTCATACATTAGCATCTTTTGTCTTAAAAGAAAAACACAATAACAGAACTTTCAACGATACAAACAGCTTTCTATTTAAAGGTAAAAGTTTGCATTTGGCATGCTTTTGTGCACTGTCCTCTGTGCTGGGGGTTGATGCTGGCTGACTTGGGTCATGCGCCCAGAGCTCTGCAGGCTGCTGTGGCATGTGTGCCATGGGTTTGCCACCACTGCCCTAGACTAAACATTGCTTTGGTTCAACCTAACAAAAAACATTTTCTTCAATGCTGAGATTAAACAAGGGTCTTGTGTATGCCAGGCAAGTGCTCAATGACTGAACTATATCCCAGCCCCAAACTTAGCAAATTTTAAGAATAAGATCTGAAAAGAACTATCCCCAAGTCTGGGAATGGTACACCAGTAGCGGCTTAATTTTCAGATCAATGCTTGCTTTTGCACACAGCAAAAGGGTCACTCTGTCCTTTTGGGCTTGTGTCCTAGCAGTGCCTTTTCCTCCTGCATGATATAAGTTCTGCTTGGCATCTTCTTCCAAAAGAGCGCTGTTTCACTGAAGGTGAACACTGATTGAGCAATGTGTCCTGTGTCCATGAACTCTGTGAATTCTTTCTTATATGCTTCTGCAGTGGCCTTGTCAGAACTGGAAGCTTCACCTGTCATCACCCTGTGGATGCCACTTCTCTTAGGGAATTTATTAAATCACCCTTTTTTTTTGTCAGACAGGTCTCACTATGTAGTTCAGGCTAGCCCTGAACTCACTATGTAGCCCAGGCTGGCCTCGAACTTGCAGCAATCTTCCTGCAGCATCCAGAGTGCTGGGATTAGACATATACTACCATGCCTGGCCCTCTACTGGCTTTAAATTCATCATTTGTTGCAGTTGTAGAGGGTTTTCTTACAGTAAATTACTGTGCAACTTCCTAGCTATTTCACAGATCATAGCTTCATTAGCATTATCACCTACCAGCTGTATCTCATTCAACCACACCAACAAAAGTTTTTCTACCTTTTCCAGCATTGTGTCCTCTGCTTGGTTAACATCTTTACTCCACATCAGCTACTTTGGTGGCTTTTTTTGGCTTTTTTTTTTGTGTGTGTGTGTGTGTGATAGGGTCTCACTATGCAGTTTAGGCTGGTCTTAAACTCATTATGTAGCCCAGGCTGGCCTCAAATTCAAGGTAATCCTCCTGCCACAGCTTTCCCAGTGCTAGGATTGCAAGTGTGTGCCACCACACCTGGCTGATGGTATGTTTATTCTTCAAAATAGTGTAAATTGTTGACTTGACCATCTGGTACTTTGAGGCCAGGTCAGTCACCCAAATACCACACTCAAGCTTTTCCAGTTTCCTTCCTCAATTCAATGGCTATTTTCTTCAAAACTTTCTTCTTACCATTATTTCTCTGCACATTTTTGTCACCTTCATTACTGCTCGGCACTTTCTTTGAAGTCATGATGGATTGAATAATATTGCACAGTATTATATGTGCTAAAAAGCACACAAAAAAGCTTCACAGTAAGTGTGTACAGGTCTTTCTGTAGCTGTGATATCAATTAGAGGAAGCCACAGCCACATGTCAGAGCAGGGAAGATGGTCATATTCATATTCATGCAGGGAAGATGGCTGAGGTCATGTTTGTCACCCAATGTGAGATTCACAAATGGAAGCAAAATTTTAACAAATGCTTCTGCTCATGAACTGAACTGTTTGCAAACAGGCGTTCATAAACTGAGGTATTATTCTAATGTTTCCATATTTCTACAGAATATAGCTCTGTGAAACTAAAGACTGAATAGGTTAATATGTAGAGACATAAAAGACATTTTTAAAAGACACTGATTAAACATTTAGATATCAAAGAAATAACGGTTGAGATGAAAACTTACTAGGTGGGGTGAACAGATTAGATATGGCAGACTGATGACCTCGAAGACATAGAAACAACTACTCAAATTAAAACACAGAGTGAAAGAACAAAACAGGAGTGAAATATGGGACAATTTAACCACTCTAGTAAACATGAGAACTGGAGTCCTTAAAAAGCAGGAGATACACGCAGGCGTCCCGGAGGTGGGCAGTAGGCACCCGGGAAGCCGCGCGGCAGGGAGTGCCTAGCTGTGCAGGTGGCTGGCAGGCGGGCAGTCGGCACCTGGGAAGCTGCGCGGCAGGGAGCACCAGCCTTTGGGCTGGACTCTAGCCCCGCAAGCAACCGGGAGGCAGGATGCCTGCGCCCGGGAAGCCATGTGGCAGGCAGCGCCGGCATTTGGGCTGGACCCGAGCTGCGCAGGAACCCAGGAGGTGGGCCACCTGTGCCTGGGAAGCCGCCCGGCCAGACCCTAGCCATGAAGGCACCTGGGAGACGGGCCACGTGTGCCTGGAAAGCAGCCCAGCGGGGAGCGCCGGCCTTTGGGCTGGACCCTAGCCATGCAGGCACCCGGGAGGCAGGCAGTTGGTGCCTGGGAAGCCATGTGGCAGGGAGCGCTGGCTTTTGGGCCAACCCCTAGCTGCACAGGCAGCTGGTAGGCAAGTAGTGGGAGCCTGAGAAGACATGCAGCAGGGAGCGCCGGCCTTTGGGCTGGACCCTAGCTGTGGGCAGCCTGTGGAGGCAGG